CTTCATAGAAATAACATGACTTTGAAAGGAAATTGAATATTATAAAAGTAAGAACATCTGAAAAATTTAACATTGCTCAGTTATCAGTGTATTTCTAGTGTTATAAAAAATATAGCAGCATTGTCTAATAGAACTTACTGCAATGATGGAAGTGTTCTCTATCTGTACTATTTAATATAGTGGCCCTCATATGGGCCACTGAGCACTTAAAGTGTATCTGGTGTTACAGATGAACTGATTTTTAAATTTTATTTAATTTTAATTAGTTTAAATGTGAACAGCTACTTGTGGCTACTGTATTAGACAGTGCTGCTCTCTAGGGTTAGGAAGACAAGAGAAAGAAGAGAGGTTAGTAATCTTCATGCCACCTGTCAGCTCAGTTATAGGCACTCCACAAGTAGTTCTTAAAGAAGATAATCTTTTTATTGTTTCAGTTTTGAATACCAAGCTCTGGGGCATATTCTAGATTTTTAGGGAGTGATTGCTAGCCTTGTTTTTTTTTTTTTTTTTCTTGTCGATTTTTAAAATTTACTTTTATTACAGAAGCATATAGGATAATAAATGTACAGCTTAAATAATTAGCTTAAACAGTAGGACACTGCCTCTTTGAAGCCCCTCTGTACTTCTCACCACTTGTGTTCTCTGACATGCTTCCTAAGTCACCATGATCTGAATTTTGTGTTAATCATTCCCTTGCTTTTCAGTTTTGGTTAATGTATTTTTAAAAAATCCATTTTCCTGTTTTCTTCATGTTTGGAAGTTTGTAGTTTCCCTTTATTTTAGTTCTCCCTGACTTCCAACAAATTATATATTCTTTTTGTTTTAAGCACTGTTGCTTTGATTTGCCTGTGTAATACACACATACACATACATACATACGTACATACAAATGTCTTTGCTCATTTTCATTTGCGTCTTGAACTTCCTGTTGGGATCTGAGATAATTTTCTCTCTCCCTGAACATCCTTTAGAGGGTTTGTTATTTGAAAAACTTTATTTGTTTGGAAGTCTTATTCCCAAAGGTGACTTTCCTGTGTGTGCATTCAATGCTAACAATAATTTTTATTATAGATCTTGTACCATTCTCTTCTAGCTTTTACTGTTTTTGAAAAATCAGTAATCCATGTGATTTGCCATTGCTTCAAAGATACAGTTGGCCCTCCATATCTGCAGGTTTTGCATTGTTGGATTTAACCACCCATGAACTGAAATATTTGAAAAATTATGGGAAGTTTAAAAAGCAGAACTTGAATTTGTTGCATGTTAGCAACTATTTATATAGCATTTCCATTGTCTTAGGTATTTTGAGTAATCTGGAGTATACCTGAGGACATAACATGGGGTAATACGCAAATATTACACTGTCTTGTAGAAGGGACTTGAACTTTGGAGGATATCCCCTGGAGTCTTGGAACCCTTCATTCCCCTTTGGAAAACTGAGGGGTGACTGTCTCTTTTGTTTCATTATAGCTAGTTTTGACATTGTTTGTTTTTGTGTTTTTACCCTTGGTGTTCTGGACTTTTATTTTGATATGTCTGAAAGATGGTTTCTTCTGTTTATCATGTTTGGTATTCAGTAGGCTTTGGAATCTAAAGATTGGTGTCAATTTTGGAGAACTGTTGGCTATTTTCTCCTCAAAATTTATCTTCTTTATTTCCTGTCTGGAACTTGTGTTTTGAAGTATGCTAGATCTTTTTACTCTACCCATCGGGTCTTTTAATTGGTCTTTTATATTTTCTATTTCTGTAATAATTAGTGCCTTTTCTTCCAGTTAGCTAGTTCTCACTTCAGTTTTGTTCACCTGTTTCATTGAATTTTTTTCACTTTATTTTATCAATTATATCTTTTTTAAAAATTGTGGTAAAATACATATAAACAGAATTTACCATTTTAGCCATTTTAAAGCATACAGGTCAGTGACATTAAGTATATTCACCTTATTATGCAACTATCACCACTGTACATCTCCAGGACTTTTTTCATCATCATGAAATTTGTACCCATTCAACAGTAAGCCCCTGTTCCCCCTTCACTGAGCCCCTGGCAACAACTAGTTTACTTCTGTGAATTTATTCTGTATGATCATATAGTTGGATCATACAGTGTTTGTCATTTTGTCTAGTTTATTTCATTCAGCATAATGTCTTGAAAGTTGATCTGTGTTGTACCATGTTTATTGAGTTTTTTAAAATTTCATTTACTATTTTTTTGGTAATTTCTAGAAGTAGCATTCAGTTCCTTTTAAACATTATCCTTTTTTTTTAAAAAAATAGTTATTCCTTTTTAAGTCATGTTCTCAAGTTACTTTATTTCTTAAAAATCTATTTACTACGCTTATTTTTTATTGTGTGTGATAATTACAGTGTTTGAAGTCTGCAGATGTGATTGTGTTCTTCTGCTTGCTCTTCCTCATAGTGCTGTGCTTTCCTAATTCATTTTGTGTTCTGACTGTGAAGTTCCTTAGAACTTTCTCTGTATTAATTTTGCAGAGTGATTTTTAAAAAGTAGGATTAATATATACCTTAGAGCTTAAAAGTAAGCCCCTGGAGATTAGTATCCTGTGTTCTTAAACTTTTTATTTTGAAATGATTTCTAACTTATAGTAAAGTTGCAAGAATGATATAGTAGACTCATATATCCTTTACCCATGTTTATCAGTTTTTAAACATTTTGCCGTATTTGATTTATGGCATAAACACACGTTATTATTTGTTTTTGTGAACCACTGAAGAGTTCGTTGCATACCTTTTTACTTCTTAATAGCTCAGGGTGTATTTCCTAAGAATAAGGGTATTCTTTTAGGTAATCATAGTACCATTATCAAATTCCAAGAATTTAACATTGGTAAATACTTTAGTCTCCATACGCTTTAAATTCCAGTCCTGTGATTTGATCATATCTTGTATTTAGTTGTCATTTCTTTTTAGTGTCCTGCAAAATGAGCTTTTCTTTGACTTTTTTGCAATTAAAGAATATAGATAAGTTATTTTATAGAAAAATGTTCAACTTGGATTTGTCTCATGGTTTCAGGTTATTTATCTTCAGTCAGACTACTGCAAAAGGTATGTGCCCCTCTCAGAATATTATATCTGGATATACATTATGTCCATTTGCCCCTCATTAGTGATTTTACTTTTGATCAGAGTGTTAACTGGTTTATTCACAGTATGGTTACTGTTTTTCTCCTTACAGTTAATAAGCAATCTGCAGGGAGGTCCTAGTGTTTTGTTCTTCATGAAAAGATGAGTACGGGGGGACTTCCCTGGCAACCCAGTGCAATGCAGGGGATGTGGGTTCGATCCCTGGTCAGGGAGCTAAGATCTCACATGCCTTGAGGCCAAAACACCAAAACATAAAACAGAAGCAATATTGTAACAAATTCAATAAAGATTTAAAAAATGGTCTTCACCAAAATAAAAAAAATATAAGTACAGTATCATTTGTATGAAAGATTTCTAGTTTGCCAGGCATTTTTATACATACCTTGTTTTATTGCTTTTTTAAAAAATTGCTTTTATTGTACTTTGCTCCATTATATTTTTTACAAATCAAAGGTTTGTGGCAACTCTGTTGAGCATGTCTATTGGTACCATTTTTCCAATAGCATTTGCTAGCTTCATGTCTTTTTTGTTACATATTGGTAATTCTCACAATATTTTAAACGTTTTCATTATTATTATTATATTTGTTATGGTGATGTGTAATCAGTGATCTCTGATGTTAACTGCTGTGACTTGCTGAAGGCTCAGTTGTTGCTTAGCATTGTTTAGCAATAAAGTTTTTAAGACAACTTTTTGTTGAAATATAGTTGATTTAAAGTATTTTTAAATTAAGGTATGCACATTTCTTTTAGATAAGCTGTTGTACACTTAAAAGACTACAGGATCACATAAACATAACTTTTATATGCACTGGGCAATGAGAAAAATTTGTGTGACTTGTTTTATTGTGATACTCACTTTATTGTTGTGGTCTGGAACTGAACTTGCAGTATCTCTTAGGTATGCCTGTATTTTATGACATTATTTTAATCTTTATGGCAGTAGTACAGATTTTGTAGTTCTGGAAACTAAGACTCGGAAACATAGCTAATAAGAGGCAGCATTGGAATTCAGACCCTTAAAGTTTTCCTAAGACTTTTTTTAAAAGTAGCTACAGCTGCCTTTTAAGTTGGTAGATTGACTGTGGACTTAAGGCAGGACTGTGTCTTGGCTCCTATGTTGTCGGTACCTGGGACGGTTGAGTGAATAAATAACATACAGACAGGAGTTGCTATCTGACATAAGGGTCTTACATGGTAGTAGTTCTAATGTAATTGTATTTGTTCACATTTTATATTTATATATTTAAATGTAGGCATATGGATAATGTGTATGTATGTTGTTGCTCAGTCACTAAGCTGTGTCTGACTCTTCGAGACCCCATGGACTGCAGCACATCAGGGTCTTCCCTGTCCTCCACTGTTTCCCAGAGTTTGCTCAAATTCATGTCCATTGAGTCAGTGATGCTATTTTACCATCTAACCTCTGGCACCCCCTTCTCCTGTAAGTACATAATAATATATATGTAGTTGCTTAGAGCCTAAAGCTTGTGTGGGAGATTTTTCTGATGCTTTGCATAACTCTAGGTAAGATTTTTTTTTTTTAGATTAAAAAGTATATGGATTTGCCTTTAGTGAAGAAAATTTGGAGCTTTCTTTTTCTTGACTGCGCCACATGGCTTGTGGGATCTTAGTTCCCTGACTAGGGATTGAACCCTGGCCCTCAGCAATGAGAATGTGGAGTCCTACCCATTTGGACCACTAGGAAACTCCCCCACATTTGGCTTTCTCGAAGTCATTAGGTGATAAAGATAAGTGAGGCAGATATTCTGATATCCGTTCAATTCTTTTTTTTAATTGTTAAGCAAATCTTTAAGATTTGGGTGATTGAAGGAATGTAGTGTATTACTCAGAGAAGGCAATGGCACCCCACTCCAGTCCTCTTGCCTGGAAAATTCCATGGATGGAGGAGCCTGGTGGGCTGCAGTCCGTGGGGTCGCTAAGAGTCGGACAGGAATGAGCGACTTCACTTTCACTTTTCACTTTCATGCGCTGGAGGAGGAAATGGCAACCCACTCCAATGTTCTTGCCTGGAGAATCCCAGGGACGGGGGAGCCTGGTGGGCTTCTGTCTGTGGGGTCGCACAGAGTCGGACACGACTGAAGTGACTTAGCAGCAGTGTATTACTAGAATGTAGTATTGGTTAAGTAATCTCTTGACCTGGTTAATTGGTGGATGCTGGGCCCTTTCCAGATTCACCTTTTCTCCTGTTTTACCTCCGACTTTCCACCTCCCATTCTTGGTTAAAGCCGGAGGGACTTGGGCACAGAACCTTGGTTAGGACACAAGTTCACCCCTTGGCTTAAGTTATTGGGACCCTACTAGGTATCAAGAACCATGCTGGATATTGAGGTTAAAATGGTGAATCCAGATAGATGTAGTTGTTGTCATGGAGCACAATTCAGAGGTGATGAACTATTATATCCCTTTGTCTGTGTTAGTCGTTTATATATAAATTGAATATTTCAAAGAAAATTTTATTTATATCTGCTGAAATTTTCCTGGCAAGAGAGAAAATTCTTGAGACCCTTAATGGATTGTGTAAGTACAGAATTTGAGACTGAAAGCTACTCAGTAAGTGTGTTCTGAAAATTGATAACTTTAATTTCAATTGAAGTCTTTTATTAAAGCCTAACCTAAGTAAATTACAGATGCTATAAAGACTGCTATTTGCCTCCTATGGGGTTTTATGAATAGTTACTAGAAGTAGTGTCTTGGAAGTTATATCAGTGTATTACATGGTTCTTTTACATTCCCTTGTCTCACCCTCACACAGAAAACTTTAATGTTACATGAGCAAATGCATGTATTTTTTTTAAACTCTTATTTTGAGGTAGAGCCTTACGGAAAGTTGCAGAAATAGGGCCCTGTGTACTCTTCACTCAGTTTCCCCAATATTGACATCTTAGATAATTGTCATAGAATAGGAATATGAGGAAATTGATACTGAGACATTACTGTTAACTAGAGTTTCCCATATGTAATGTTAACATATTAACCATATGTTAACATTACTGATAACATAGAATTTCCCTGATGGCTCAGGAGGTAAAGAATCCACCTGTAATGCAAGGGACACAGAAGACTCGGGTTCGATCCCTGGGTCGGGAGGATCCCCTGGAGAAGGAAATGGCAACCACTCTTGTATTCTTGCGCGGAGAATCCCATGGACAGAGGAGCCTGGTGGGCTACAAACAGTCCAGTGGGTTGCCAAGAGTCAGACATGACTGAGCGACTAAGCATAAGTACTGTTAACTGGAATACAGCCCATGTACAGATACCATCTATGCTTCTGTGTGTGTGTGTCATTCTGTGCAGTTCTGTCCCATCTATATATTTAACCACTACTGCAGTCACAATGCAGAACTGTTCCGTCACCACAGAACCCCCTGGTGCTGCCTCTTTATGTTCACAGCCCATCCCCTCAGCCCTCGTTTTGTCATTCTGAGAATGTTGTATGAATGAAAGTATAGTGTGTAACCTTTTGAGATGCATGCTTTAAAAATATAATCTGTTTTAATTCTCAATGTAAAATAACTTTTCTGAAAGGTGGTTAGATGGTAGGAAAAACAGATTTTGAGTCTACCACCCGAATACAGTCATCATTCTGATTTTTTAATACCCCATTTTATATGATGTTTTATATCATATTTATAGTGTATGCTCAATTTTGTTTGCTTTTTAAACAGTTTTTGGCTGTGCTGTGTAGCATATGGTATATTGTTCCCAGGAACGAAACCATGCCCTGTGCAGTGGAAACGTGAAGTCTTAACCACTGGACTGCCAGAGAATTCCCTTGTATAATTTTTTTAAACTTAACATTATTTCTGTGTCATTATCATATATAATTTTTGCTCTTGTAAGGAATGTTGCAGAAGACGCCTAAAAGCATGTATTTTTCTTCATGTTTTTAGTCATTTTCTTACAGCAGATTCCCAGGTATGTGATATGGAGCCAAAGGATATGAGGGTTTATTAATCCTGAGAATTTGGTCAAATTGCTTTTCAAAAGGGTGGTATTACTAGTACTGTTTCACTGTATCTTTGTTAGATTGGGTATTAGGGTTAACTTTTACCCCCTAACCAAGGTGAAAAAGGTACTTCTTTGTTCTAATTTTAGAGTGCATTTCTTCATGTAACAGTTTTTCTATGAAGAGTACAATTAATTGTAACATCAAAATGCCATGAACTTTAAAAATGTGATTTTGGTTTTAAGTACTTTGGAAAAGCTGTTTAGTATCTGTGCCAGTTTTCAACAGTTCTGTGCAGGTTGAGTCACCAGCTCCTTCTCTTCACTTTGCCTGGAACCTCTTCAGTCTATAGGTGTGTTACCTACGGAACGACACAGTTTCTGCTTTGCTTCTTCCGGCCTCTGCCATGATCTAGCTAGTCTCCTCAGTCTGGATCCTTGATCTCTCCCTCTGTCTGTTAACTCCCTCCACTGGCACCACACCAGCACCTCATTCACTTCACCTGCTTTCTTGTCGGCCTTAGGTGCTGGGTCACGCCAATCCACTGATACATCCTTTGGATTGCCATAATATTATGCTTACAGTGTAAGCCTGGGAGCTTGCAGTCTCAGGACTGCTGGGCATCTTCACTTTTTCGATGGCCACCACAGAAGTTACATGGTTAATTGTGTGTGCAGTATGTAAAATAGACCCAAGTACAAAAATAGCAGAATAACGAGGAAATAATGCACCTTTTACTTTTCTCTTTTGAAAGAAAGCATTGCTATATTCTTTGAGTAGTAGTCAGACCGTCAGGGTACTAACAAAACCCTTAAAGCAGAAGTTTTAAGTAGAATATCATTAATGCCAGCACTTTGCTTAATTTTAGTTGTCACAGTATTCCTACAAATTTTTGAGATAGCTACATGTGAAGATCTCATAAGTGTTTTTGAGTAGGAGATTGGCAAGTTGGTTAGCAGGGGATCATAAAAAATGATACATATTTTTAATTTTTAACTCAAATATACATTCTTTCACCACTTTTTTCCCCATAGGGTCAGGGTTTTTCTTTATGGATGGATCTTTCATTCGAGTTCTGGATTGTCTTTTTAGAATAATCCATACCCATGAGGCATTTATCTATGAAGTATCCCTTTCTAATAAAACAGAATTTAAAGGCAGTTTTAATGTTTTACATAAAATCCTTCTGCATTTTTATGCTTTTCTCACTATTCTTTTAAAGCTGTTTTTACATACATCCAAATCCATAATAACTTCCATAATAAAGAAAATAATTAGCCTTTGAATCTTTTTGAACTTTTCAACACAGTTTTTCAGAGAAACAGCCCCTTTCACGGTCATAATTCATCGGTTTACATAATCTTAAATTACATAATTACAATAACAAGTACAGTTGGCATACGTGAGTTTGGGAACAAACAGCTGGCTCTTGTTAAGCGTCCAGCTCATTTGGTGAGAGTAGAAGGTTGAGGACTCAGTAAGAACGTGGTTGACTTAGAGGACTGCCAGGTGCACGTAGTCAGCCTGTGGTGAGCATCAGGAAGTGATTTACGGAGGAATTTAAGCTCTTTATTTCTCTAAGGTGATAAAGTAGAGGTCTGTTAAATGAGTTTCTACTGAATTATTCTGATTTCTGTTATTTTAAAATAATTTTTATTTATTTTATTTTTGGCTGTGCAGGGTCTCCATTGCTTTGTGTGGTTTTTCTCTAGTTGTGAGCAGGGGCTACTACTGTTCATCGTGGGGCACCGGTTTCTCATTGTAGTGGCTTCTCTTGTTGCAGAGCATGGGCTCTGAGGCACAAAGGCTTCAGTAGTTGTGATACACAGGCTCAGTAGTTGTGGCGTACGGGCTTAGTGCGGCAAGTGGGATTTTCCCGGACTAGGGATTGAACCTGTGTCCCCTGCATTAACAGGCAGATTCTTATCAACGGTGCTGCCAGGGAAGTCCTCATTTCTGTTTTATAGAGGAAAGCAGTGAGGCTTCAGAAAGTTAAGTAAGATTTCCTGGATCAGGCAGGTCATAAGTGATGGAGCCACAGGACTAAGGAACAAATTAGACTTAGAAACACACTCTCAGAATGGAAGTCATTCGTATGGAGGGGACTTACTGAACAGTAATAGGTTTATAACACTTTTTCACACAAAGAGTACATGAAAACTAAACACAGGAAATAAAACATTTAAAATTCTCCAGTGCAGTACCTTGGAAGTACAGTACAGCTGCTGGCATCCTGGGGCCGGCATCGAGGGGACAGGCAAGAAGAGGCACTCCTGCACGCTGTGCAGCATCGTACAGGGAAGTACACAGAAGTGCGGCCACCTGTAGCGGGAGCACACACCTGACCACGTGTGCCAGACACGGGAGCTAACTTACCTGACTGGACGTGTGAACACACACTTGCATCTTTGAAAGCTCACAGTGTGAAGATCTGTACCTAGGGTACTTACTCCACTCCAGGTCTGCATGAAGCTCAAACATAGCATGTCCTTTTCCCTCCTGTGCAGGCGCTAGGTGCTTTTTAGGTCATCTTGTTTACCCAATCATTAAGTGTTCTTGAGTGGTCTTTGGGTATGTTTGGGGTAGTGTTTCTACAGTTATCCCACATCTTGGGCCCTTCTTTCATTTTTCTCCTCAGTGTTTCTTTTGTACTAACTAAAAAATGAAGGTGCATCCCAAGGTGAAAACTAGGCTTATAATTGTTTGTTTTTATCTTATATTGGCTCTGTATATGTGAGAGCAAGGCTGAAATCTTGCAGTGTTGTAACTGCCGAGGTAACTGTGAAACAGGAGAATGTAAAGGGGAAGACTGGAGTGGGAGCAGACATAAACTTTGCTCTTTCTTCTGTTAAATTTCATTCTTAGTTTGGAATCTAAACAGTCATCTTTATCCCTGTCATTACTTATTATTTCATGGAGCATCAGTAGAGCCATTAGAATTTAAAGAAAGGGATATATGT